TTACAATTTTTGCAAAAAAGATTGCTGTTGTTGCAAACATTGAACAGGGTATAGAGTTCCAGCAGTTTTGAGGCCCAGTTAGGGGTTTACGGGAAACAGGATATTTAGGTGAAAAACTAACGGGGTACAGTATATTTAAGGAAAAAAAGAATGGAATATGGGATATTAAGAACAGATAAAACGGGATGTCGAGTAGGATGCTCGTCAATCTTTGCAATTTGAATTAACGGGATACGGGATATGGGGTCTCGGTTTTTCAGAGATTGCGATAACACAGCTGAAGTTAACTTTTCTCTTTTTTGGGCGCTATATTCATACTTAACCTGCCATACTGCTGTCTCGTGTTTCAGCCAGTAAAAAGCGATAAGTTAATTAAGAAAACTGTATCATCTTTAAACACACACTGACCCACAATCCTCCTCTTAGCTCCAACGAACGGCTGAAGCTTGAAACGTTAGCCTTTCCAACTTACCTACGCTGGTCATGGTCAATTTCCCTGAGAGAGACAGGCTTGGTGTGAGAGTCCATTAGCGCGCAATTCCGCGCTGCGCTTGAACGCCTGGACTGAGCACCTGGAAGAGGCTATGGGTGCCGGAATTTTACTTGCGACTGTCACAGACCATTATAGCCACACAAGTGTGAAGTTCACTCTGTTTTATTGCAAAAATCAACACATTTCTTAGCAGTTACTGGCCTACAAATTAACTTGTTTATTACAAAATATCAACCTGACATTTTCTAACTATGGTATTGGTGTCGTCTAAGCACGCATTATTAAATTATCTAAGAACTTTATCATTATGTCTGCGTCAGAAAACTTAACACTTAAACAATGAGTGAATTTTAACACGATATACTTACGAAGGAGTACGACTCTTGCCGATCATCCACGGGAATTCCGACAGATCGTCAGGCAGACTCTCGGATGTTCGGCAATGTTCGGCGGTGCTCCGATCTCCACGAAGACAAACGTTTTCTGTTCCACGGACAGCCATTTAAATTACACTTCACTACAAATGTCGAGGCCATTTAAAATGTCGAGCTATTTTGCAATAAGCTATATTGTCGTTTTTCAAGTAACGTTTAGTGTACGCAGAAGTCTTGCTTCCTTGAGTAAAAAGCGAGGAACAGTAACAACAACAGTACAAACGAACAATAAGAAAAAAACTGTGTGATTTGTTAATGGACAACGGTTGGAAGGCTCAAACTGAAACGCAACGTTACATCGAAGAGCACTTCCAGTAACGCAACGCTACTTCCAAACCTACAGTTCCCTCTTTCCCGACCCCCTACCCCACACAACTATATATATCTACACACTGGGATAAAAAGTACACCGTTAAACGAAAACTTGAAATTCATCTGTTAATTTCAATTGATACCTTGCAGGCTCCGAACTTTAGAAGTTGGCTTCAAGTTCTGCTCACTCCAATCTTGCTAACAGAGTTTAGGTTTGACAACTTAATGCTTCGTTCAGACTATTTTGACACACGTTTCACAAATTTACGACCCATTTCACCTTAAAGGTTTCTGTCTCAACTTGTAGAAAACAAGTTAAAAATTGTTCAGTTAGTGGCCAGATGTCAACGAGGCCTTTCCTTGTCAAACTAGAAATAGATGTCGCTGAAGAAAGCTACTGCAACAGTTATACTCCCAAGAGTTCTAGACTAAGACTAAAACTGAACTAAACTGAACTGTTATGAAATCTCCACATTAGTTAGTATTTTTCCGTCTCATTTAGCAACTTGATTTATATTTATCCCTACCCCTTTATACAGTCTGATAGGGACGATTTACCATCGTACCGTTAGATATCTTTATATATATATATGCATTTTGTATAAGTTAATTTTCCATACAGCATTTGCATAGAATATCTGAAGTACACAGTACTTACTATTTAAGGAAAAGAGCGTGCAACAACACGCGCTTTGAGTTCTGGGATCGAGCGTGGAAGCTATGGCGGACAAAGCTAAGTTATTATCTCGTTTCCAGTACTACTCCGACTACAGAAACCAAAAACAGAAACCAAGTGACAGGAAAGTTTCTCTTCCGCAGGTAGATAGTCTCCATACACTATTACGAAACTGTGACACCGAGGACTCGTTTCAGTGTAAAGCCGAGGAAGAGCTCCGAGGTCTGCCGGGAAGGCCCAAGTTCCCAATTTTTAAATCTTGCCAGTTACGTCATGCACTCTGTCATGAATCTTCGAGAGCGACTATCTGCAGGGTTTTACACGCGAAAAGCTGTAGCAACGTCACGAATTTTGAAGAAACCTTCAACAAGTGGAGACAATTACCAAAATTAACATATGCTACAAAACCTAACAAACTTATCACTCTTTTGTCAAAGTAGCGAGTGTGTGGAATCTCATCTCTCTCACGCCTCTAATACTGATTAGCTTTCGTCACGTTTACATTACTATTACATAACTACAGTTATAATGATTATTTGTACGCTATATACATTGAAAGACATACGAACGTCATGTGGAATCTGCGGGTTTCCCCTTGTTTCCCCTTGTTTTCAGCCTTCTCTCGGTTGCCTCACGTTGAGAGCGCCTGGAAACTAACACATAGCGTGTCACGAGCGAATTCCACGCCCAAAACGCTTCAAAAAAATTTTCAGAAAAACAACTTGTCTTGTATCCCTGTGCTTCAGGAACTCTCGCCGTTTCTCTTGTTTTTCTCGTACTTCAGGAGTTGTCCCATGAAGTTTAAGTTGGGTGAGATGACCGGCCTTAGGTCCTTGACGAACTTGTACGCATCCCCCAGGCAAAGACCCTGTCGCTTCATAATGTACGCTACTGTCACGGTCGCTGAGCGTGACACACCTGCGTGACAGTGCACAAGAACACCGCTGCCCTGCTCCCGGGCTTCGTCTACGGAGGAAGAAAGTCGAACACGACTGTCAGATTTCAAGTTGTAAAAATGCTCCACTAACACGTCATGACACTTGCGTGACCAAGCCTCTTAAGCATGGCGTGATACCAACGTCAATCACAGGAGATTTATAAATTGACTCCAAACACAAATCTTTCAGGCTGTTTAATTTTCGGTCACGTCTCGGTTTCTGACAACTTACCCACTTTTACCACAGTTATGTGATTCCTGTGTATACTGACACAAGTCCATAGTGACTTGTTACTGTACTTCATCTGGTTCTTTGCCAGCTTTTCGGAAGTGCGGGCCTGGTTTCCAGGTTCAATTAAGTAGACCTGGAGACTGAATTGCCAGGGCTCCTTCATTTTGGGAAAATAACTTTTTTTCTCGACAATCAAAACTTACCTATAAATTGAATTGCTTCGTCAAAATGTTGTCCAATGTCCTCTTGATTCGAGTCGTTGATTTTAATCTGCTTGTAATGCATGTCCGATCTCTGACTGAAAAAATTTGGGCATCGGGGCGTCAAGTTAAGGATGTACTTGATTGACAACCTGTCAATTAAAGCCTCGTCAGCGGCGCCTTCTTCGTTGCCAAGATACAAGAAAGGTAAGATAGCAGTGACAGGGGTTCCTTGAGGGCGCCCTGGATACGAATCACATGTGGTCGGTGATGGCGGGAAATCGTCCACGTGACAGATGTTAACCGGTGCATTTTCACACAAGTTTTGGTAATCTCTACAAAACTCTTTCAGTCCGCCTGTAACAACAAAACAAATAGCCGAGTTAGGAAAAGTGAAACCTAAACAACATATATTCCAATGTAGTGGTCAAATAAACAGCCCTTCTATTTATCACAACTTTAAAAAGTTTTCAAACAAAAGTAGCGAAGTATAATTTAATGAAGCGAGAAATAATTTCAGACAACACTTTCAAACACTCTTAAAGCAATAATTACTTTCCAATGAGGTAAACTCTTCGTAAATCTTTTGTTCGTTTGAAAAACATTTACAGTGAGAAAGATTATTATAACGCTGTTTCGCCTCTGTAGGGTGTGAAAATATCACTTATTTTACAAACTTCGGAAACAATTGAAAACACGCGAAAAAAAAAAAACCTTTCACTTCAAAGCTCTCAGACATAGACAGCGGGTACCAACAAAACTACCGGAAGTTGATATTTAAAAACCGGAAGACAGCTTGAATGACTGTACTGCTCAAAACAAAATCATTTAAATTAAAACATAGCAATGCAAAAAAACTGGCTATCCAAACCGAAATAACGTTCTAAGTTATAAAAACATTTCAGTCAAAGTCCCGCAACTTGGAGTTCCAACTTTCTTGTTCACGCCTTACAGGAAGTAGACTTCAACCAAACAAGAAAAGCGCTAAAGGTCGAGCAGCTTGAGGGTTTGCTTCGCCCAGTAAATAGCGCGTAACCCAGAATTACGCCGCTTAGAGACCTTTTCACAGCAAAAGCGATCGTGCTTTGGAAATTTTGCAGTGTAGAGAGGTCGACAACATGGAGCAAGGACGTCCATTGACTGTGACCATAACCACCTGTTAGCTAAACCAGTGCACTGTAGAATTAAGAGCAAGTGTGGAATTACCCGTTAGGCGAGAACGCCGCCTTTGCAGAAGCCTGCTTCGAGTTTCACAACAACGAGCGGTCATATTTCGCGTCTACTTTTGCAGATCTTGCAGCCAATTCGCCCAACGAAGGTTCAAATTACACAGGCTAAACATACGTAACGAAAAAGTCGCCATTAGGTCATTGAGAAAATGGAAAAGGCAGGTATTACTTAATTATGACTTAACAATTACAGACTCTGTTGCTTGCCTAATTATTTTCCGGGGTTACGCACTGGTGGCTCGCTGGCACAACACCTGCCATTGACGAGGTTTTTCACTCATTTGCACATAAAGAAAGACCGCGTTTTGCTAGCAGCAAAGTCCACTTTCTTGCTAGCACTCTGCAAAATCGCGGGTCAATGTCATGAAAGCAGCGAAAGGTTCGCCTCGTATACAAAAGAAACCAATCGAAAACGAAGCCGAGAGCATTGACAGCGACTGACAGGGAAAACCCATCCAGGTGCTCGCCCAACCTTTTCAAATACGCCAGTGTACAGCTGTGAAGCCTGCAGGGCTTGCTTGAGCCGAGCAGAATTTTAGCTGAAAGGCATTTTTATGCTCTAACCGCGAAATTTCACAGCAGACGAAATTCCGGCGATTTCAGCAAAAAGTGAAGTGGTTTTTAATCATCTTGACCTCATAGTCAACTCGACAGCAAGAACAAACACATTAGTTGACACAACAACGAAGCAATATTTTAGACCATTGAAACATTAGGGAGGTGCCGTTATTTAGAAGAACTGCCCTAATGTAAGGTTTGGATCACGATTTGCCGTACAGAACATCCCCCATATACCCAGGTTCTTGTATTCTCTTCTCTCGATCCCAAAGTGTAACTAAAACTATAACTACTAAATATTTTCTCCAAATTTACTAGAGCTTAGCAAAAATACATGATTCGATCGAGACAATAAAACTATAATCTTTTTTTTTTTTTCTCAAAGTAACATAATTTTATTTTCTTTTTTGTATAACAATGTGGTAGATATGTAGCGACTTTGGTACAGGAGAAGTACAAGAAGTCTCCAAAACTCTTCAGCTTAGTTTCCCACACTGTTGAACAAATATAAACATACCTGAACTCTAAAACAGCTTCGATTCAATCTCTACAATTACCTTTTTGCTTGCAGCACTAGCGCACTTTTTTCGCTACTCCACATTAGACGAGCATACGATCGCTCAGACACGACTTCTTGATACTTGTCGTTGAAGCCAAATTACGATAATTGAAAAGTCTTGACATGTAACCTTTGTCTTAGCAGAAAACACAAATGATACGTGACTCCCAGTAGGAAGTAAGCAAAGCTGTGATCCTTAACTGCTACCACTAACTTTCCTAGTATGGGGCGGCTGACCTTGTCTCGACTGTCTGTTTTGGTCCAGAAAAAAACTTCCGAAAATTGACCGAAGAAAGAAGAAACGTTAGTTTTGCTTAAAAAGGATAAACAAACACTTCTCAATAAATTGTCCATATTAACCGAATTAAAAGGTCATACTTTACTCGACTATTCACTGACTCAAACGCAATTTATAAACAACTTGTGCGGAGTTTTAAACATGTCACGAAAAAGTTTTTAAAACTCTTGCTTTGAAAACAAATCGTGTTACTGATGGTGCCTCTTGAAAAAGAAATAAGAATAAATGCATGCTTATTTCCTAACACTGCATACATCTGTAGTTTATTAACAAAATTTGTTTGGAGTTAAACGGACGTCAAATTATACAAACTTGTAACACTACAAGAAAAATGTTGAAAACTTTTTTTAGGATAATTGCATCAACGCATTTAGCGAAAAATAAAACAAATAATAGCATTAGTTAGCAAATGTGATTACTTTAACTGTCTTTAAAAAAGTTTGGAAACCGACATTATTGTGACAAGTAAATATGCAAGGCAAACTGTAAGTTACACGGATCAATTTAGTAACTGAAGATAAATTTCCCACAAGAGGGAAAATAACCCTAGCAAACTAAATTACTGGTAATTATATCCAGAGAGGCTGCTCATTTTAGTTCAATAACTCACCATAAGTTTTCCTCAGAGGTAGATTCAAAGGGGCTAAGGATAAGATTCTACAAGGCATCGCAGCAAGCCCTTTAGGCCAGGTGTCCCAACTGTCTTGATCTACTTACTGAACCCAAGAACCACTGACTAATAACAACTGAACCAAATAAGTTCACTTTGTAAGAGAAACAAATATCAGAAAGGTGAAGTCAATGCTGTAATGTCCTTCCCTTCACTGGGCTGTATCGACTGGGTGTGATATGGGATTTACCGCCCACTTAAATTTCATCCAGGTCAGTGAAATCCAGAAATTAGATATTTCCCTGAGCAAAGGCTAAAACATTGCTTTCAAATATGATCTTCTACAAGCCTATTAGTATAATAAACATTATTGAATGTGTCACAGTAAAATAAGGAGGACGTCCTACTTCACAAGTACAGGTTCATGTCTGTAATTCGAACAAAACAGAACCAGCAAATTTCTGGGTCACTTACAAAAGAACAATTGATTAAACAAATTAAATGACCCTTCAACTAATTACATGAGCCTACCAAAATCCACTGAGACACCGGTTAATTATAAATGGAACACAAACTGACAAAACCTTTATTTGATTAAGCACCAATTATTTTTCCTTTTCTTTCTATGAAAGCACATTTAGATTAAAAAGAACTGCATTTAACATTTTGTGAAATAAGAAAAACCTAATGTAGACAACCTTTTGTTGTCAGAAGCTAAGTGACCTCTTTGGTCACCTAAGGCAAACAAATGTTTCCAGTTCATTGAGCATGTTGTTACCACATAAATATTTTCTGGGTGAGTCCCTTCATAACAAGGGAAAAAAGAGGGCCTTTTCTAGTTTAATTTCAGGTTAGAATATTGCCTGCCTGACCAATATTCTGATGGGAAGAAAGGTCTAAGATCTGGTAAATTAAGGACCAACAGTTTGCAGAGTTAAAAATATTCCTAGTGTTCAAGTGAGATCAGCACCAAATTTCTCAGTACTTGTACTGGTATATAACTAAGTGCCAAGTCTCGAGAAGTTAGGAAATGATCAGTGCTAAGAAGGTTGTATATCTTGACACTTCAAAATGTCTTCCAACTAGGTTTGGAGACCAGGAAAGAGAGCTATGTTGTCTACAGATATAAGTCAGTTTTTTACATAATTTTAACAAAACAAAGCTGAATTAGTGATGAGTCGGCAAAAATTTATCAGGGTTATAAGGACATTTGTAACTGGATACTGCTCTGACATAAGCAAACACTGATCCAATTTATCTTTTTATCAAAGCTGTTTTCATAGGTTGCAGGACTCTGTCGACCAAAACAGAACTTCAGCAATATACGGCAATAATTGAGTATTGATCAACAGATCAAGAAATAGCGTATCAATATTTAATTCCCATTTAAAATGCCTAGTATAGTTTCACAGGATGGAACGAGTTTATGCAATCACTTCTATTTATATGTACTCACACAGAAATAATTTGAAAACACTTGAATTCTTCCCAGGGAAAAAAGTCATGCACTCAACGATATTAAAATCACTGAACTACTTTGGTACATTTAGCGTTTAAAGATAGAAAGAACAGAAACTGTCAAAAAAATTTTCACCAACAACTCCAAAAGTTAGGTGGACCATAATGTTTCTCTTATAATTTTCACAATAATGGCAACATTGCCCAAGGAGACATCTTTTAAACACCTTTAACTTCCAACACCATCATGTTTGTGATTTTTCTTTTCCATTGTACATTTTTACCTTAAATGAACTTAATAAAGGTGAAAAATAACTTACAACACATTTTTGCATTGTTGTCAGTGTTCATATAATTCCGTTCATATCTTTTATGCTATGTCATCTGTGTTTAGCTGTAAGCTGTATCATTCATACCAGTAATTCATGGTAGATTGTTATCACATACTACATGAAGTATTGCACAACCTTTTACGAACCAGAGAAAATATGTGGTGGAGTACTTGAGAAAATTTAGTTTCATGAAAATCACTAACAATACTAGCAATTACAGGATATGGCTCCGGATTTTCTTCACACTTTAGTCAAAGATAGATCACTTGCTTGATAGTGCTGCCGTTACAGCTTTCTATTGAGAGAAGATACATGAAAAAAGGTTCCCCTAAGTACAAAGCACCAGAGTTTCGCTTTTCAAAAAGAAGTCGTTTCGTGTGTTCGTGAATATTCGTGCCAAGAAAAATCCCGACGTCAAACTATTTCCTGTTCATATAAACAAAGCCTGGCCACGAAAAGGAAAGCTCTAAATTGCTATGCTGTTTCGGTATTTGACCGCGCACAACAACCGCACTTTGCGTCACAAAATTCTTTCGTAAATAGAAGCGTAAGTAACGTGACAAATGGTTACATGGATAGATTCACACAGAAGTTACATACAGTGCCTTCTAAATTGAGGACGCTACAAACACCGCCAGTATTACTAATGTTTCGAGAAATGCGCTTCTGAAACTATAACCACTAATCCATACTATATCGGAAATATTGTCCGGCGAAACATTCGTTCAGCACTGAACCCTCTCTGTTGACATTAGCGCGCGCGGCACTCAAAAAGATTTCCAACGCTCGAGAAATAAGTATTTACAGAAATAACTAAGCGTCATCAGCAGAACTTACCTTTTAGTACTGAAATATTTTTCCCTTCTTTTAAAAGAGTTTGTAAAACTAAGCAAATCGGTCGACAAGGGTTACAATCATCGGGGCCACTCGACAATTCATCGTATATCACAAAGGTCGTCCCCACTCCACCACTGATAAACTTTTCTTTTCCCTCTGCAGAAGAAATCAAGTCTTTTAGCTTTGCCTTTCCTTGAGATAGTCTTTTTCGTCCTATTCCAGTGCAGTTTACATGAATAGCTCCTCTAATATGAAGTCCGTTAAAAGCAACTAGCGATCTACAGTCAACAATGAGAAATTCGGCCGCATTTGATGAAGCCCCAACATTGTTCAGGCTTTGGGCGAGTTCAGTTGAAGAAACACTCTTCCATTTACCACAACTCATATCTTTGGCTCGATTCACACATCCAACTTTCGACTCAGCTGGTCTGGGCACGAAAAGAAGTGGAGGCATTAAGACGAAATTTTTAAATCTTTCAAGACAAGAAAACCAAACCAAACGCACGCTAGTTTGCAGCTGGCGTGGGTAATTTGGCTCAGTGCACTCTTTCTACACGTGTAGCCGTAATATCCCAACAAATCCTTCCTAGAAATACGAATTATGTTCCCTGTGTTTTGAATATCCCCAGCTTTCCGACAGTGCAAAGAACAGCACTTTTCGCTTTCGACAGAACCGCGGATTGTAGTAAACCTTTTGCATAGCTTGTTGAGAAACGAAGAGGCAAAAATAGATTGCTCAAAAGAAACGGTGATGTCATTCGGAGCCAATGAGATAGCCCATCCGAATAGCAACAAGAAAGTGCTGACGGTCGTTGCCGACACCTCCCAAATATGGAGTTATCACTATTACGTAACGAACGAAGATCACCGAACACCATGCGGAAACCAACGTTCGTGAGAGTCGTTCTATAAATAATCATTACCGGTGTGGGTAGTGGAGCGTTTCCGTAAGCCGAACGCTGGGATCACGTTTTCAGCTTTACTCCGTGCCAAGAGAAACGTTTAAAAAAATACGAAGATGTGATCTTCGTTGCAGATGCGACTGATCGTTGAAGTTCGAAGTAGTAATTGATTAAAATCTCTGCAAAAAGGTTTCAAAAAGAGCCTCGAAACTGACCACTCCTCAGGGAATAGATTGTGCTGGCATATTCTCGAATCGGCGTAGGATGACTGTACACAAAAGGAAGTTTCAACTTCCCTCTTTAAACTCCATTTTTACGATTGTCAAGTGGGTACACATCAGAATACAAAACTGTCCGGACATTTTCTAGATACGAAAGTATTTTTACCAAAGGAAAAGATATTCTTTCAAAAATGCAGTGAACCATATCGAGGTCACACGCGGAAGCAACCTTACAAGTTGTTTAGTTTTGTGTATAACACAGCCGCCCGTTAGGGCTGGTATCTAGGTGAGGTAGTCACTAAATTTGAACTACGCTGAAACGCAAAGTGAATATTTTCTGGAGACAAATCTGAGCCACAATATAGAAAACCGTACAAAATATCGAACATGTATATTCTTCTGTTAACCCCCACCCTTGCCCGGCGATCTTCGAAGCACAATTTTACCAATTTTTACTGGCCTGGGCCGTTTGTATATTCTTTGGAAAATGGCTTTTTGTTCTCCTTTTATCATATCAAATTAGAAACATTGGTAATTCAATATCGCAGTTATGCTCACCAAATAGCATTTCCAGTTATTGGTTTCTTAGCATAACAGCAGTAACAAATAAAACTACAAATGAAATCATCATTCTGTCAAATTTTAAACTAATGCCTCTTGGAGTACTGTGTTGTTCCCAAAAACAGAACAACAACAACAAAACACAAAACAAGACGAAGAAAAAAAGAAACCAACGCACGAAAAACCAATAAACCTAATTAATGTCAAGGCACAAGAGGCGTTTGCGAAAGTCCTAACATGTCAGCTGTGATCAGAATTTTTTTAAAACACAAAAGTGAAAATATAATCATGGCCATAAATAATATACTGTAGACCTTGTCATTAATGTTTGACCCCATCTTGGAGGCCTACAGTAATTTTCTCTTCTTAGATCTTCCTGTATATCTCAATGTGCATAGCAAATAAATTCCCACGTAAACATTTCAAGTTCTAGGTCAAGAAAATTGGTCGCTGCAGTCTAGCGCTGAAGGAAATGTTTTCTGGAACCTCGCTGACAAGTTAGGTCATTCCGAAAATACTTCACACGCGTCGTGCACGTTTCGATAGCGTGAACGAGCAAATTATACAACGTGGAAAATTACATTCCCTGGAAATTGAAAATAGCAATATGATAGGAGAAAATAACACGTGAAATAACTGACCTTTCTTCCCTAATAAGGCCAAATGTACAACGCGATAACTGTTTACATCGCTTTCTATTTCTATTCCAAGCAGATGGATTGAGAAATAAATAGGCCTTGAAACGCTTGTACCCAGATTACATGTACCCAGTTTTCCAAGCCGCTCAAGTAACAAGAAACTTCTAGTGCCGGAGTCAATCAGTAATAAACAAGAGCTTCCCAGTAAGATAAAAATTGTAAATTTTAAGCATTTGTAGATAACAAATCGGAAAACTTGAATAAACAGAGCAATCGAAGACCAGATGTAAAATGCAAATAAAAAGTTACAAAGCTAGGTAGCTTGTGGCAGCGAAGGCATTGGGGGTGAGAAGTTTAGCTCTCGTTTCCATGGAAGCGGTGAGGACAGAAAGGCAAAATGGCGACTTTCCTAACGTTGATGGGGTCAAGAAGAGAAGTTGTCGAACAATTGTTCGGAAAGAAAAGGTTAGATTGATTATTTAATGCTGTAAATTTATTGCTTTAGCGTTGATTGTTGCGTCCATTTGTTTTAAAAGTCACAAGACAGCAGAGATCTCGGTTTTTCTACAACGGCATTTTCCCTCATCATGTTGCATTTGATATGAGTAATAGACTTGTTGATGCTCTTAATTTACCTTACTGTTATAAGCTGGAAATGAATTTCGATATTTCTGATTGGTGTTTCGAACGTAGAAATATCTTTTTACGCGAAGAGACTGTATTAAGTTCAAATCTGTTAACATTTCTCAGGTTGAGGTCGATCGCGACTCACTTCCAAGTCAGTGAATTTTTGCAGTAATCACGGCAGTTTGTGTGGAGTTGAAGAGCTGGGCAACAGTGATAAACTTCATCAATAAGTGTCTCATTGCACCTCCTTGTCTTGATCTACATTGGCTGAAAATCGGAAATATATGTTTGTTTAGGTGAATGCGCCAATAAAGCTTGTGAGATTGTGACTGCTCTGAAGCTGTTGCGGCTAAATACAAGAATTGCACCACACTAAAATGTACTCCGGTTGGCCTAAATAACACATTGGTTAGCCTAAACAGCACTGTGGTCAGCCTAAGTAGCGTTTTCGTTACCTTACGTTAGCGCTGACTTGGGAATAGTTAGCTCTTTTATAGGGTGCAATTCCTGTATTTCGCTGCATGTCTCTACAGCTAGTGTGTATTTGACCTGAGAACTTTTCTCAGAACAGTTAGTGTCAGCCTATCTGATCCTGCACATTCCATTTTGTAGGACCATTTTCTATCTACTTGCATCAGTAGTTTTGTGCATCGAGTTTGCTTTTTGCCTTACAGGGATGCTGAAGAGCAAAGAGAAAGAGAGTTCCAAGCAGCTCTTAAAATCCAATGTTGGTTTAGAGGAACAAAAGTTAGAGCATACTTGAAGTAAGGCCTGTTAGATATTGTCCCAATGTGTGATACATTACTACATGTAACTGCATTTGCCTTCAATATTTACTAGATGGCCATGCAAGTAAAGCAAGCGTTCAAATACATTGTGTATTGTTTTCATGAGTCCTTTGTACTTGTGTGGGTATCACATCCCAGGGAGTCTGGTACTCCCAAACAAAAAGGACAGGGGTGCTCGTTATACCTTTTAGGGGTTAAAAAAGCGGTTTTGGTAACTCTTAGGGTGTTCAGCCTCAAAAGGTCCACAGCGGGAGCTTTTGCAGTACTTTATTGAACCAAAGAAATATAACAAGAGATAATGTGTTTTAGAACTGATACCTCTTAGGGCTGAAAAAATTCCAAGCCACACCCACAAAAAAGGACCTTGGTACTTATTAGGGGTTCTTTTCCAAATTTCCGACGAACACCCCGTTCTTTTTATATAAGNCCCCCTTACTGGGTTAAAAATACTGCTTGTCTAAGTTTTGTTACACCTTTTTTCCTTACTAGAAAATTATCATGAATTTATCTCATTTTGGCAGATTTCTTCATTACTGTGCAAGAACAATACAAAGGCATTTCCGTGGACATAAAGGGAGGGAAATTTACCGACAACTTGTGCAGGTACATAAGGAAGACAAAGTTATTAATAGAAATCTATGTTAAAACAACAATGACAAAAATCATTCAAATCTGGAAGTTTCACAACATATTTTTGTGAAATAATAACTACTTTTCACAGATAACTTATCTCATTCGCATTACAATATACAGTTAATCCAATATAAACATGAGGCAATTTCAGGTGATTTTGTAGTTTCTGCCTGAAATTACCTTGCATTCATGTTGAATTACATTGCAATTCAAATGAGAAAAGTTAACCATGAAAAGGGCAATAAATTATGTACCATTTGTTAACCCCTAAGACCAAAAATGTCTTTTTGGAGGATGTTTTGTAATGGCACTAGTTAGAAAACGTTTTGCTGATAATTATCATAAATTTCTTTGATGTTAACAATATTATGAAAATTTATAATATATTTTTTTAAATTAATAAACAACTTGATTTCTTGTTTGATTAGGAAAGATTAGCCAAGATGAGGATAGACTTCTACAACAAGCAGGCAACAATCGTGAGTATAATAAATTTGTGAATTTTCCAAAGAAATACTATTTATTATATGGTGATTAACCAGAAGTTGACTAACTGACTTTTTCTTTGTATAATTTCAGATTCAAAGATTCTGGAGAGGTATGTAAGACTGAAATTGAAATTAAAACTCTACAGATAAAACTTTTCTTGATGCAACCACCAGTAATCCCAAGTCTTAGAAAAATGATAAATAAAAGCTTTTTTTATCCCTTTAACTTATCTTGTCTCTCTATCTTAACTATGGAGTGACAAGATATATATGTTTTTGGGGAAAAAACTGTATGTGGCAATTGTTGCATAATTGTCACTTGCATACATGTATGAAATCATCACACACACTAGGCTTGTAAACTGAATTATGATAAATGCTTATACATATTAAGTTTACAATCATATGCCTTTTTCCTTTAGGGTTTTATGTTCGTAAATATATCTACAATTACTACAGTCGCAAGAGATACTTAGAGGGAGTTCTTGCCAAGAATGAAATAGTGAGGTAAAAAATAAGCTTGTGCCAACTGTTTTAAACTCATTATTGGATCAACTTTGGAGGCAAGTTAAACACCCAAACCCTAATAATTCTTCTGACTTATAGATGCAACGGTACTTAAAAGAACATCAGGGAGATGAGAACGAAGCAACAATTACTTTAGTAGAACTTGATTGCATTTGGTACTCGNTCAGCTTAAGCAGAAGTCTCAGTTACCTGCAGATGCGGCAGAGATTCTTAATCACTCACAAAGCATAAAAATAGTATCTAGGGAATCAAAGAATGCTCCTCTTCCACCAATCTCAATGAAGACAGCAGCAAAAGTGCAAGTAAGTGAAGACAAGCAGTACCAAGCCAGTTGTGAAACAAACAAATAAATTGGGACTTTGAGACTTTCTTATTAGTCTTTCAAAAAATCAAGACTTTGAAACCAGTTTGTGAAAAAATTGGGACTGTCAGATGCACATAACTGCTAAAGAAACAAGACTTGTGAGACCCATGGTATTTGAAGGACCATTTGCCACCCCTTACATGTACTTTTAAGCCTCATTCAGATTAGCCACTCACAAATTCTTATTATATATTACACCTTAGGGCCCATTCCGCACCCCAGACGAGGTCTGGCAACAGAGACATAAACCCCTTAATCCATCTTTAAGAGTGGCCACTTCGTACCTTTCAGCAGAGGATGCAAGGTAGGTTTCAAAATTTCCATTGCTCTGCTAAATATGTATCCATTCAGTGTCTCCACTTCCTTAGAGCCTCAGATTTATTTATTTGAGGCACCATGCTGATATCACGATTATTTTCTGTCTTTGCAGGGCTGACATGAAAGCCAATGAATGGGTAACAAGGCTGATAGACGATAAGTGAGTCGATGACCTTGTGATTATAACAACNTGTGCTCTGATTATCAACAAGATGGAGTGATTCTATGATAATGACTCTGGTTACCGTAAATATGACAAAACTGTTGTTTTGCATCACTTGTGTGCCATCTTGTATCCATCTCACAGTATGTGCAATAATATTGTCACTCCTCATAGTTTGCTTTTCCATCCTCCAAGTTACCTTGAGCACTTTGTTTGTTTGCTGTACCAATTTGCTGGCACAGAGTGATACTCCACTAGCATGGGTGGAGAGAGGCTAGCATGTCCCCCCTGGGGTGGGGGTGGTTATTTCTAAAGCAACCCTATAAGATACTTTGATGGCTAAAGGAGACCATAATCTGTGATTAACACCCGCTAAGCAAGATGAAGAACATCCCCTACCTTCTCACATGGGAGTTCTCCCTGCCACTCCCCTTGGCATGCCTCTCACAAGTTACTTTTACTACAAGCTCTTTCTGATACTCATCCCTCATCATGCCTCCCAGGACACCTAAGACCATTCTTTCTGATACTACTTATTTTATACTATTTTGACTGTCTGAGAGTTTTATTTGATTTCTCGTTTTAGCTTACTAAACAGTTGAAAGCAAGAAAAACACATTACTTAATCAGTACCCATCAACTTCCTGGAGTGTACAACTCTCCATTCTACCCACCGCAACCATCAGCGAAAGAAATTGAACTAAGAAATGCAAGACCCCTCAGCCGCAGAAGTCAGCTTAAGCAGAAGTCTCAGTTACCTGCAGATGCGGCAGAGATTCTTAATCACTCACAAAGCATAAAAATAGTATCTAGGGAATCAAAGAATGCTCCTCTTCCACCAATCTCAATGAAGACAGCAGCAAAAGTGCAAGTAAGTGAAGACAAGCAGTACCAAGCCAGTTGTGAAACAAACAAATAAATTGGGACTTTGAGACTTTCTTATTAGTCTTTCAAAAAATCAAGACTTTGAAACCAGTTTGTGAAAAAATTGGGACTGTCAGATGCACATAACTGCTAAAGAAACAAGACTTGTGAGACCCATGGTATTTGAAGGACCATTTGCCACCCCTTACATGTACTTTTAAGCCTCATTCAGATTAGCCACTCACAAATTCTTATTATATATTACACCTTAGGGCCCATTCCGCACCCCAGACGAGGTCTGGCAACAGAGACATAAACCCCTTAATCCATCTTTAAGAGTGGCCACTTCGTACCTTTCAGCAGAGGATGCAAGGTAGGTTTCAAAATTTCCATTGCTCTGCTAAATATGTATCCATTCAGTGTCTCCACTTCCTTAGAGCCTCAGATTTATTTATTTGAGGCACCATGCTGATATCACGATTATTTTCTGTCTTTGCAGGGCTGACATGAAAGCCAATGAATGGGTAACAAGGCTGATAGACGATAAGTGAGTCGATGACCTTGTGATTATAACAACAAAGTAAATGAATGTCCCTGCCACTCAAACATTGAGCAAAGCCGACAAGTCTTGGTTTAGTCAACAAGCCTTGTTTAATACAGACTGCACCCGCAAAACCTGGTTTCGTGTACTTGCCATTCTTCATACCGGGTACAGAATGGTGCATAAGGATGATACCCAATGTGGTGACCTGTGTCACTATTATTCTGTCCACTTTCCTCTATGTTCTCTACATCTGCCAAGCTCTGCTAGTCAGTTGTGAACCTGCTTGCTATCTTTGTCTCTCTCAGCTCTATAACAGTCCTGTCTACAGATGCCACATGCTTGACTGGTTGAGCTCTGGTTGATGAAAGCAAACTTAGTACCTTTTGGCACAACCTATGAACTGATGCAAAAGAGACAGTGCAATATTAAACCACCATCCTTGTTATGTACAGTGTAATCACAAAGTTTCTGTTATTTACGGTACATTTTCTTCTTACTTATACTTGGACTTTTTCATGCAGATGTACATTACATTCCTTTACGTGTTTCTTCTCCTGGGCAAAACACGTTGTCCAACAATAAAAACTGTTCACTATTGGGCGAGTTGTCAACCTGCTATGGAAAGAACTGAATTTGATGTTAACTTGTTAAACAATGAATGTGTTTTGCAAGATTTCTCTCACGCTTCCTCTCTTCTTTGAAGCTGGCCCTTATCAAGCAGCATAACGCATCATGACACGTTTTTCTTTCATGTTATTGTTAACGCCTGTTACTTCCAAGGTTCCTCAATTGTCATCAGTTAGCCAACACACAGAAGAGCCGCTGGAAGAGAACACTGGGTGGTGTTTGCAGTTGAACGGAGTTATGTCAGTAACCATGATAAAACAGTAATTGTCCGTCTTATCATTTTCTTCTTAATTCCACAAACCTTTCTGTTTGTTGTTAGATGGTTTTCTTCTTCTCTTTAAAGTTAAGCTCCTTACCGACTTCTTACTGACGAGTTTCTTTATTCTCATCACCTGTTTGCGTGTTACTGTATGGATATTGCAAGGAAAAGTTGGAGGTTGATCACTCTAGACATTACGAATGTCTTTGTTCTTGACCGTCTTTTTGTTGTTGGGGTCTTTGCAAAGTAGTTTCAGCTTCTTTTCTCCATTCTTTGCTTCTTTGCCTGACTGCTGTCACAGGAAGCCCAATTGCTGCTGCATGTTCCTCTGTTGGACAGGGCGTACTTTGCTTTCTTCATTTCAAGGTACACTGTATGATAAACTCATCTATCATTAGATGACCTCAGGGCCTTCCCTGCAGTCATTTCTTACTTTACTGGTCGAGGAAGGCTTTGTGCTTTTCTTTATAGAAGCAGACACTCTGGCATCCGTTAACGGCAAAAAAAACTGCACAAAATACTGGCAACGCTTTCTCTGAAAAATGACGCATCTTTTTTTTTTTTTCATTTCAGATTTGTTCCATTCACGCATAGAGAGCGCCCTTATGATCCTTTACTACACACCACTTCCCAATATGGAAGGTGAGTTTCATGTCACAAGAATAAGAGATGAATAGCACATAGGACTAGGTACAAACACTGGCCTAGCCTGCGTTTCTAAACCACGCGAAGGGAACGAAACTGCGAGCGAGTGCGAGAAATGTGGAGCGGGAGGAGCCCCATTTTTTGCTCATTCCAGGCGCGCTCGCTTGTTCAATCTCTCCGCCTGGAAAAGGAAAGGAAACGGCTGCTACGTAGGCTAACACTTGCCGGGATCTCTGGCCAAGACACTTTACTCTCACAGTACCACTCTCCACCCAGGTGTATAAGTGGGTACCGGCGAATTTTATCCTAGGGGTAACCCTGCGATGGGCTAGCATTTCATCCATACTTCATGCTACAGAAACCGGAGATAAGCTGTGACGGAATAGACCATTTAGCCAGGAGGTGAACTTTACCTATTCATCAAACTATACTGCACGTAAGTAAACGTCCAGAAAGATATGCTAACACTCTTGTTTTGGTGTTTTTAGTTTACCGTATGGAACAAAGCATTTCAGAGAAGAAGATCCAGAAGGACATATAACGCCCTCGGT